TGTGATTGTGAGATGGCAACTCTAAAGTTGTCAATGTTACGTGCTCACGTCCTCCTCCAGGTCCTTGTCGGTAGTCAGACAATCCTGGTCCACGTCCTGGGTGAACTGGAACACGTCCTCTCATATCCGGTAATCCGAATGTTGTTCGTCCGTCTCCTCCGTACATCGTTCCCAAAATTGAAAACAATGCTGAGTACTGTGAAATTGGTAATAGCTGTCCGTCACAATTCGCCCATGCTCTCGGCGCAAAGTTACCTCCGAACATTACGATCTGGGCTAAAAATGGATCCATAATAACTTGGTTTTAGTTAGTGAATAATTTAAATTAGTTAGTGCTTTCGCAAAACCAACATAGGATTAATTATTCGAAAACTATCCCGATCAAAATGGAAATTGTGATGAAATACGTATAATCACGTAGAAACCCCTGAAAACTTCCGAACCCAAAGTAAAAAACTATTAATCAACCATTAACTTCTCGAAGGAAATACTCCCTGAAGTGCAATAATGAAACGTACTGCACAATACGGCTGAAGAATATCAAACGGTTGTTGTCCCCCTGTGTTGTTTGTCGTAACCGTTACATTATTTGCTTTCATGTTCACATTCGGTGTAGCATTCGAATAAATCTGTGTAGAACCGTCTCCTGATAACGTTGCTCCGCTCGGATTCGTTAATGAACCTCCTCCCAAAGGTGGAGTAAAGGCAGCCTGTACAGTTCCCTGCCCTGTATGATTATGAGAAGGAAGTTCTGCGATTGTTAATACTACCTCTTCACGACCTCCTTTGGCCCCTTGACGATAGTCGCTCAATCCTGGTCCGTTTCCAGGATGTACAGGAACTCTTCCTCTCATATCCGGCAATCCGAATGTTGTTCGACCATCTCCTCCATACATTGTTCCTAAAATTGAAAACAATGCAGAATATTGGGAAATTGGTAATAATTGTCCGTCACAGTTTGCCCATGCTCTTGGAGCGAAATTTCCTCCGAACATCACAATTTGAGCT